GCTTCCCGTCCGCTCAGCCGTACTTAAGCCACACGCCGGGAGGTTAGTAGTTGGGTGGGTGACCACCAGCGAATCCCTTCTGTTGTATGTTTTTGTGTCCTTTTTTTGCTCTTCTTTTTCGGGGCTTAGTGCTCATTCATGCTGGTCTATCTTCACCCTGCCCGTTCACTCTCCCTCCCCCTGAAGGCCCAAACCACTACTAAATCCTAATACAACGCACTCAGTCAACCCCACTTTCAAACAGCCAGATCGTTTTTCAACTTCAAAGATTATCACTATTAATGGGAAAAGTTTGAAGGCCACGGCTAAAAGACTACTGAACCAATATTGGTATCTCTCGAAGAAGACCATTGACTGGAGCGCATAGCCTCAAGTCAATTAGAGCTTCTTAGTAAAACAATTAAGTAAAAGTGCACTCCGCAAGAAGAATAAGATATTTGTCAGGAATAAACAGAGAAAACGAAGTAGAAATAAATAAAAGACTTAGTATTCAATAGGATAATCTAGGTTGCACCAAAGTATAGTCACCTCTGCATTCGCAGGGAAGTACAGGGGAATACCTCGAAAAATGGTTAGAAAATTTGCACTGAGGATTGCTATATCAAGGAAAGTGTAATCCCTTGTCAACTTGCTTTTTCGGGACAGCCAAATAATTGTATGTCTTCCCCACAAACCTTAAGTAGAAGAGTCCTGTTAGAGGCTGTGCCAACTGACACAGGTCAGCAAATGTACGTGCCTTGATCATTACAAAGTGATTACCCATAATACATTGCCAATGGTAAATATATCTTGGTCGATCCTCGGGTGTATATCGCCCTCAATTTTGTGTCGGTCCTCAATAGCAATTGAAAAATTCACTTTACTGACGTGGCAATCCTATCCTCGTATGCCAATCAGTTCACCTTCTAAATTTTGTAAGACAATTTGGCTTGCGCTTTTCCATAGTCTGAAAATGCTGCATTGACTTATAGGGTACGTCTCGCTTCTGTACCATCGGGGCGTCTGATTGTAAAGCGTGCATCGATTTAAATGTTAATCTACGCCCGTGTGAAGGTTCCAGTGACAGTGGAAATGGTAAATCGAAGTCGGAAGTGCTGTATGTGAGATGAGGTTGCTAGCATGACTTGTTATGTGGTAGAAGAAGTGATGAGAGAAGGATCAGATGTTTGTGTTCTTTTTCCAAGACAGAGAGATAACTTCGGACACATCAGGCAACTATCATGACTTTAACCCACCTTGACTGTGATTAATTCATGGAATTGCCCGTCTCAGCTCAAGTCTCGGGGATGGCAATCTAGAATGGTGCTTTCTGTAATGCTCGACTTTTCATTCCCGCAAAATTGCCCTGTCCAGTACATCACGAGACGCAACCTTGCAGCTGCTTGTGATTCATCTAGCGGCATGCCATAGTTGACTATCCCTGCAGACAGGCCGCAAATGATCAAGCCAAAGTGAGGCATAAACAGCCTGAAAGATGGATCCAGCTGATTGGCTATATACATAAAGCATCCATTTGCCCATCCTGTAGTCTATGAGTATTGCAATACGGTCGCCTAATCGTAGTGTTGCAGTGATTTATCTTACTATATATTTTCTAGAACTAGGTGAACTCTCTCAAATATTCGTAGATACAGCTTTAATGTCAAGATAAAGTATTTGGTGATTAGTATATCTTCAAGAACGTGATGGTATATTAGGGTAGACTACCGACCACGGGTATTCAAGTGGCGTGGAAATATGCGAAACAGGGATTCAACGCAGGCCCCTGACTGTGAAATTCGTTTGCGAAGCATGTGATCAATGTGTGATGTGCTCAGCAAGTCTATGAGTAATGACATACAACGGTTCGGAATGGTCAGAGTACAGATTTTCCTTACTTACTCTGTGTTAGTAGTCTAGTGTAGAGGTACAGGGATCTGGACAATCTCGGGTTGCCTAGGGTAATGGTTTATACAAACAAATAGAACGCCCCCTCCCCGGGGGATCGCAGGCCATTGTGTGGAAATCAAGGTCCAGAATGAACTATATCTGTCTTGCCAAATATATTAATAATTCACCTGACCATTTCGGTGAATTTAGGTGAGTGATAGCAGCTTACATCTTGAGAGTTGATTGACGTTGACAGTCAGTTAGAACACTTCAGAATGAAAGCAGGGATAATCTAACGGGGCAGGTTATATAGACATATCAAATCATTCATGACAGCGTGTATCAAAACCATAATTGTCCTATACAACTAGTGAAAATGGCAGTCAAGGTAAGGTAATTCACACCTTGAAACTGAGATCTCTAAGTGGCTCAAGACATTTCGCTGGCGAAGGACTGGCGCTCTTCCTTTAGATCAACCCTAAAGGGTCACGCACACTTCCATATAAGCATGATTCCTTTTGCGCGCTAAGTGGTGACTTAGCTACTATGTATAGAAAATAAGCGGCATTTAGGTTGTCACCGTATGATCTTATGAACTAAGCGAATGGGCCTGCTCCACTCTCAACAACTGACAGGGAGGACGTCCCGCTCGCCGGTACCTTGCATTACTTTGTTTTCGCCGAAAACTAGTCCTATGTATTATGGCTCTATGATGTTCTGCTTGAATGAGAGATCCCTCGGCCTTAGACGCTGTCCAATGAACACATTGGACAGCGACATTAGCTCGGGACTAATTCACAGCAGTATACGAAGTCCAATTTCGTGGGGATGGAGACTGATTTTAGATAGTAGCTCAAATTTCATTCAACACTCGAGATATTTTTCGATCGTAGAACAGCGGTCCATAGTTAGTTCGCGTGCCAAAGAGGGGTTCAAGCCCCTTCTCGTCTGTGCCAAGTAGCCGATGAGATCTCAAGCCTCAGGTCACTCACATTGTGACATGGACATGCGTGGATCTCGATGGAGAAGTGTGAACCGACGCGCACAAACATAGCTACTTGTAACAGCCGTTCTTCGCGAAGTTGACGAGTTCTTATGTCCGAGACAACGTGATACCTTGACGTATTGCACCCTTAATCTCTCAACAGGCTTGCAAAACAACACTAGATGGCCATCGTAGTGGCAACACGTATACACACAAGCCTATGCTCAAGATAGGCCGCAGTGGAGGTCAAGTTGAGTGAATTCTTCCCCGTAAATAGACAGCGTTGTGGTGAAGATGAACCAGACTTTGTTGCCGGAATCGGCCGGGCCATACCCGATTTGGGGTGAGTTTGCGAGATTCTGCGCGGGAGCTCGGAGGTATCCTTCGCATCCACTCGGATCCACTTCAGGGTTTGTCCAACCCTTCTCCTTCTTGCGGGGAGCCTCGGCCGCATATGCCATTATCAGTAGGCTTCCTGTCGATCATTCGGCGGGGTTGCATCATCACTTTTACCCTCTTTTGTTCAGCAAAACCCAGGAAGTCTGCAGCACCCCAGACTGAAACGCGCGGCCAACGTGGGTCCTAATAAACAATAGTATCCCAGCTACGTTGTAGGTGCCGAACAGGCCGAGGGTCTCTACACTATCAATTCAGTCCCGGCAATCTGCAAGTTCCCAAGGTTAGGGTTCAATTGCCAGGGAGTTGGCCGTGCTGTGCTGCTGCTATCTTCAATACTCTTTTTAGATCACAATATGCACATAAGCATAGAGTTTAAAAATAAGTATCGAGAATCTACCTCTCTACTATAGATAGACTACACAATAGTAGTCGCAGTATCAAACGTAGTTTGTAGCTCGAGCCCTCTCTGATCGGCAGGGGGTGCGGAGAAAACTATACAAGGAAGATTGGCTGCCCTCGGCCTCGGCCTGCAGAACTGGCAGTGTTCTCCGCCACCTCTCCCAGAATGTCTACCGTCCTCATGTATCTGAGACGGGTATTCTTCTCGCAACTTCTCAACGGTCTCGTCGATGCTAGTTTTCCTGTCCGGTCGTCATCGGTTGGCGTAAACAATCGAAGTCTCCACATGGGAAAACTTCATCCCGTAGAGACCTTACACATTGTCGCACTCAAACCACCTTCGGGTTTATCGGAACGGCAGGGCTTTCATCATTGCACTGCTTGAGATCCATTAAGCTCATTCCATTGTTTCTTCCGGGTGGGTCTCAATTTCCATCCTTAGCCACGCTTGTTGCAGAGGCACCTCGAATCGAACCTATAAATATGCCGATCGCCACCCAGTTTGCTACACTTTTTCCCTCAACCTCATCTCCATCCTTCCTTTCCATTTTCTTTGCATTTTCCGGCATGCCCTCTTTCACTACCAAGGGCCTCGCCGCTGTGGCCCTGGGCGCTGCTGTCGCTCAGGCCCAGCTCTGGGATCAGGTCATCCAGACAAACTACGGTCCTGTTAAGGGCTTCAAGTACTTCACTAACGAGACTGTTCTCGAGAAGTACTTCGGTACCACCGAGTCCAATGTCACCGCTTTTCTGGGTATCCCCTTCGCTGCCGACACTGGCTACCAGAACCGCTGGAAGCCTCCCCAGCCCCGTGAGCCCTGGAACACGACCTTGAACGCCACCTCTTTTGGCCCTGCATGTCCCAGCAACTACGAGACTTATATCAGCGAGGACTGCCTCAGCCTGAACATCTGGACTAATGCTGCCTCGGCCGATGCCAAGCTTCCCGTCATTGTTTGGAACCAGGGTTCCGACGAGACCAGTGATAATGCTTGGTGGTATGGTGGCGGTATGGCCATGAAGGATGTTATCCTCATCTCCTTCAACCGCCGTGACGATGCCTTCGGCTACCTCGCCCTCCCTGAGCTCAACGCTGAGGGTCTTGCTGCCACCGGTCACAACACCTCTGGCAACTATGGTGTCCTGGATCAACTGGAGGTTCTCAAGTGGGTTCAGAAGAACATCGCCAACTTCGGTGGTGATCCTGACCGTGTCATCGTTGCTGGTCAGTCCTTCGGTTCTTCCCAGGTCTACCACGCCGTCAACAGCCCTCTCTTCTCCGGCTACTTCCACGGTGGTATCTCCGAGTCTGGTATCCGCTACCCCTACGACCCCATGCTTGCCGGGCTGGCTACTTCCTACGTCAACATGTCTACCGCCATTACCCACGGTACATCCTACATGAGCGAGCACAACGTCTCCACCGTCGCCGAGCTGCGTGAGCTCTCCATGGAGGACCTCCTCGTCGGCTCTCAGGACCGTGTCAACGGCACCTGGATCTGGTGGGTTACTGCTCTCTCCGCAGGCTACCCCCTGATCTTCAAGCCCGTCCTGGACGACTACGTCCTTCCCTCCACCTACCTCGAGACCCTCATCAATGGCCCTGCCAACGACGTCCCTGTCATCACCGGTAACACCAAGGACGAGTCCGGCGCCTCTACCACCACCGACTACACCGTCCACGAATACCTCAATTACACTTCCCTGAAGTACGGCGACCTCTTCGACCGCTACATCAAGCTCTACCCCACCAACAACAACCAGAGCACCGCCGACCGTTCCTGGAACGCCGCCGCCCGTGACGCCTCCCTCATTGGCTCCTGGGCCTACGCCACCGACTGGTACAAGGCCGCCGAGTCCGACTTCTACACCTACTACTGGACCCACGCTCCCCCGGGCCAGGACCAGGGTGCCTTCCACCAGTCTGAGATCATGTACGCCCTGAACGCTCTCTACGCCAACGCCGACACCTACCCCTTCACCGATGTTGACTACGAAATTGGTGCGAAGATGTCCGCCTACTGGGCCAACTTCGCCAAGACCCTCAACCCTAACCAGGGTGGCTCTTACACTGGCAAGGGCAGCCTGCCCAACTGGGCCCCCAACAGCCCCAACGGCACCCAGATCGTCATGGAGCTGGGTAACTACTTCGGCAATGTCCCCATTGCTCACCCTGACCAGGTTAAGTTCATGATGGACTACTTCCACCAGCAGATTCCTTACTAGATGAGGATCATGGCGCGCTGCAGCGTGCCGCTTGTATCCATCTTGTACAGCAGAGCTCCCGTTTCACTGGACCAGACATAGCTAATATGTCCTCTCCGTCCGTCTGTCACGAGACATTGACATTCTATGCACTATATTCGCTTCTTAGCTTATCAAATTCTGTGATAATACATTTTGTACATGTATCAAAACCTTTTTCTGCTACTGTCTATTCAATACTCCATAGTACATAGCATAACCGGCGTAGACTACCATAAGTCTTCCATAACACATACATAACGAAGCACTCAAAGCGCCCAAGTAAACTCATCATCTCCCAACTGCCCAAACAACTCATCCAACGATAACTGCTCCAGCTCATGCGCATGAACATCCGGCATGAACCCCACACCGCTGCCACCAACCCCACCCACACCCCTCTCTTCCTGCCCTACCGACGGCTCATCCTCACTAAGCGGATGCATAAACTGCGTCGTAACACGCATCCTAGCGCCCGGAGCTGCCGGTCCCGACGATCCCGGCGTTTCCGTTGGACAGATTTTCGGATCGAGTAGATCCCAGAACAGCGATGGCTGGATAGTGATCGTCGTTCCTTTCGTTATCGTTGCACCTTGATGCTCTGAAGATATAAACGGGTTCGTACTCGCCATAGATGCCGACGTCTGAAGTGCATGGAGGGTCTTAAGCCTATGCGAAACGTGCGGCCAGACCGTTGACATTCTTGACAACAGTCTCTCTGCGATGAGGAGATGTCCTCGTGCTTTTTCTCCAATTCCTCTGTCCCTCGCGAACTGGAATATCCATGATATGGAAGCAGTAGCTGCTACTAAGTGGGCTATTAATGGGTCGTGGAGCGGTAGGTCGAAGTTCTCCCAAGCTTGAACGAGTCGAAATACCCATTCAGTGTGAAATAAGGCGTGGTCGACTGTTTGTTGGAGGAAGAGGCGGGACTGGGAGACGCCGCGGTTTCCGCGTAATATAACAAGGTGGATGAAGGGGTGGTTCTGGATTGCGACGAGGGCATGGCAGAAGATTTGCATCGATATCCAGGAAGTCCAGTATTCCCGGTGGGTAGAGATCTCGGCGGGGGTGCGTTTGGTGAAGGCTACGTTGCGGAGGAGATGGGATTCTGGGAGTTGGGTTTCGTGTTCGTTGCGTCTGTGGTTGAGCTTTGAGTAGGTGGAGGATAGGGACCAGGGGGTTTCTTCGTTGAGGTTGGGGTTCGTGCGGATGCTGTGCAGGTAGGAGGCAGTTTCCCCCCAGATTATTATTAGTTGGACGCCGTATGCGACTATTCCAAGGTCGTTGGTTGGGTCGGTGGTGTCGAAAATGTCGGCTTGGGTGGGTGGTGCGGAGGGGAGCGGGGGTGGGACGGGTGCGCTGGGCGGGTAGAGGTATTCTGGGGATGTTGAGGTTTGTGGTGGAGATGGAATGGAGAGTTGTGGTGTGAAGATGCTTTCTAGTATGCGTATGCTCCAGTGGCAACGGGATATTGTGAAGTCTCTGGTTTCTGATTGATTAGTGTTGTTGTGTTGTAGGGTTTGAAATGCTTGGAGTCGGGATGCCATTCCGATTGTCATGCAGGCTTGGGCTTGTTTGCCTTCTATTCGGGGATTAGAACAGGTCTTCAGGTCAATGCGAAAATGCGTACCTTTGATGTGCCGTAGGGCTAGCAAGCACAACGACTGCAGTACTTCCACTTGTGGTATGCCCTCGATGGCCATTTTCACAACTGCCTGTTCGGCGGACTGGGAATAGAATTTCCGAGCTTCTATCTCCCTGCCGTGGTAGAATTCATGACTCGAAAATGGTAGTATAAGCGTTAGGAAACTCCATAGGAGAAAGTCTGGCGCTTTAGTCAGGTCCGACTGGAGGGTGTTCATGTTGAACAGCGGTAGTGGCTGCAGGTGTAGCACTTTTCGGTACGCCTCTGTAAAGTGTTGCAATGTCTCTGTGGGTGGATGTGGACTTATCTAATTAGCCAAGATACCAATTTTCGGTGGCACTAGGACACTTACTTTGTTGGTGAGAAGGTAGACATATCACTAGGACTTTCTCGCACGGGAACCTGCCAGTCCAGCTCTCTCTGCGAGGTACTATTGCTCTCAGGAGTCCCTGGTGATGGTTCGCCATTTCTGCTGGAGCGTGCGCTGACAATACATCAGTCAATTGTACAGGAAATATATGTAGGGTAAAAGATATACATACCATAGCGCACCATACAAATCATTAACCTGTGACTCGAGTATCCGTAGCCGATCTTGGGTAGCCCTTCTAGTCTGATATTAGGATCAAGGTGCGTTGTAGCTGCAGGATGGCTCACAGACGCATACGCTTTTGTCACCCTGCCAGGTGTGACATTTGCTCGGTTCCTGAGTGAATAAACACATTGGTGGTTTAATCTTTGGCAAGTTGAGCAACCCGGCCGCTCTCCAGGACATTTCGTTTTTCTGCGTCTGTCATAGAGTCAGCAAGTCTAACCATTTCCTGATGAACAAGAGACCCTACCGACATGGCTCGCAGGCCTGTCGACTCCGTTCTCGGGGCTCAGACGATCGATCCATGCTATTGGTAAAATGACATTCCGCCATCTACTCCTGCCATTAGCCGGGGAAGTAGCCGATCCATCTCGGCGTCGGGGCAAATTCCGGGCTGCAATTTGCCGACCACGTGAGCGGAAGTTTCGCCACGGGCTTATCTTTCGGGACTAGTTTATTTCCGGCTAGTGGCGATCTCGCTTGGGTTTCCTTATGGGTATGCTTAAATATCATCTTTTGGCTAGATGGAGGAATGCAACTTTAATTGAATATGACTCTAAAGAAACCTCTTCTAGTTCCGTCTTCCATCTCTAACTTCGTAACTTGTCATTAACCAACCTCATATTTACAATCTTCACCATGCGAAGGCAATGACAATTTACAATTTAGCCTTCTCATAAGGAGTCAACTCCCGTCTCGCAGGTCCTGCGCGGCTCCCATCACCCAGGAAAGTATCGTCCTGGTTCTGGTATTCCATCCGGAATCGCCACTTCTGAGCGAGGTTCTCTGGCAGGTCCCGCTTGATCGCCCGCGACATGTATTCACCCAGGACAGGTAGAAACTTGAATCCACTGCGCAAAGAACATTAGCATTCGATCACAAATACGAATCGATACAAAAGGAATGACTCACTGTCCACTGCCCGCACCTCCAATGAACAAGTTCTTGAAATCCGGGTGGTAGTCCATGATGAAATCACCGGTCGGGGTATCCGTATACCAGCAGAGAGCCAGCTTCTCAAAAGGCCGGTCAGCTAGTTCGGGCAGAATCTCGCGCAGTCCTTCCCGGAGTCTGTGCTCGCCGTCCGCTGGGACAAAGTTGATACGCTCACGAGGCGGGATCAACGGGGGAGTCGAGATGTTACCCTTGGCGAGGGTGATCTCTCCCTCCTTGGGGGTCCTGGTGTACCCCCACCCGTGAACAGCCATCTTCAGTAGGCTAGTATCTTCATGAGGAGGGAAATTAAACCAGCCACTCGAGAAGTTGATGTAAATCGGAAGCTCTTCGTACTTCTTCACCTCCTCTGGCGTGAGACGCATGAATCCCAGGACCTGAGCAGTAGCAATGGTAGAGTTGTACATGGGAACTAGGCTAGATCCCCATGCACCAGCTGCAAGAATGAAGTGATCTCCCGACACGGGGCTTCCAATGAGGGTTCGTACGGCCTTGATATTCTTGTCGGAATCGGTGTCAAACCCAACAACCGTACCCCGCCGGCCGCAGATGAACGAAACCCCAGCTTCGAAGCAATCATCACGAAGCTGACTGATAGCCTTGTTGGCGTCTGCCCATCCTGCTTGGTTGTTTTGGTACCCAGAGAACGGAGGTGCGGCTAATTTTCCGCTGAGGACTGGGTGTAACCGCTTCGCGTGGTCCGCGTCGGTTACGTGAGTCCATGGAAGGTTATATCTGTTGAGAGCTGCTTTGGTCCTCTCCATCCATGAGTCCTTGACGGGGCCCATGCTTCCTGTTAGAATAAACGGTCTGGGGTAGAAGATGCCCCGGTACTTGGGCTCCTGCCATTTCAAGTAGGCTGCGTGAGAAATACGCAAGTAGTCATCGTCGGCATAATCAAATCGAATTATACGAGAGATGTCAGAGCTGGATCCATCCGAAACCTGGACTGATTAGGTGATGTAACACTCACGATGCATAACAGAACTTACTGGGGGCATATGTCGGTCAAGGACCGTTATGTTCTTGTAGCCCTCGGAGGCGAGCTGGTAGGCTGTGGTGAGGCCAAATACGCCTGCACCGATAATCACGACATGGCTATCTTTATCCATGACTACTGATATACGTCAGGAAGTAATGGGACACTTGGGAAGTGAATGTTCTTGGTGGAGCAATGGTTGTTCGATCAAAGCTTTCATGACTCCCTAAATAACTATGAACGGAGACCCAAAATGTTCTCCGATCCGCTCACGTGGTCGGACATCGGACTGGCTTGGGTCGGCTACCTGGACCTAAACAAGAGCATTGTCTAACTCCGGAGTGTGGCGGTCTTTCCCTATGCTCGATTGTGGATTCTTGAGGAGGTGGCGCTGAACCACCTCCACACTGCAATCGAGGTGCAGCCATTATGTCGCCTGACCGGAAAGCTCAATGATGCCATTGTCTCCGAGGCCAGTGACGAACGGTTACTGGGTCTGCCATTTATTTTCAGAGGCTTCGTTTATCACTTTGGTTTGGCTGGATGTGTAGAGAAGCAATACGTAGATGAATGAAAGTGTAACATATCTTCTAATTCGAATTTCAGCGCCTTGGACATCGAGGTTAAGATGGAAGTCGGCGGGGCGGGAAATTTAAAAAGGCAAAAAAGAAGACGTCCCTCGACCCGGAATCGAACCAGGGATTTTCCGGTTACAATTAACCATTACAGCCGGACGCCATAACCAACTAGACCATCAAGGGTTATCTGTTAGTACTTGTCATTGCTCCTATATATATACCACTAAACTCAGCCAGAATCGATCACATTTTTGTCAGCAATCATGAACACTTCTGCTCGGTGTAACTGGTATATGTCCTGCCTAAAATTAGTCTATTATGGTTTGGCTAGTGCTCCTATCTATTTTTGACCTCTCTATCTCTTCAGTAAGTCATTGTTAGGCTCTTTTTTCTTGCTTGTGGCTCGCTCCCTGTTCCCCGATAAGTTACCCCTCGATTGTATCTGGTGGATATATATTGTCTGGGTTCACTTTCCTGTGCCAGTGAAACAGCGACCATGAAAACATGCGGTCTAGACGACAAGCCCGTCAATCCCAGACACTAAACGAGCAAGTAACCAGTAAACATATTAAGATGGCGTTTATTGTGTCAGATATGGATCCCCAAGGCATCTTGGGTGACACCCCATCACTACCTGCCTTAGGCATCAGCACGAACATGTGCGGGAATCGGCAAATGATCCTGGAATGTTGGGTTGTGATGACCCTGATCAGCACGTAGGCCATTCAGCTCCACCCAAGGAAAACCGAATATCTAGATTGAAAGATCACACTTAGCAATCCTACTAATTATCCGCAGCCCCGTTCGTGGGCAAGCGCTTGTTCGGTCCATTCCAGAAATGGTATCATGTGACCACAGCCCTGTCATGAACACCCCTCTCCCTTTCTACTACACTGGCGACTCATCCATTCTGCGCTCCATAAACTAGGCATCACTATTGAACGGAGCTATACCCCAGACTTTGCGACATATATATTCCCCAAGTCAACGACCATAATGTGATCATCTCCCTAGCACTTCACCCACTCGTAATCAGTGAAATAAATGAGGGTAACAACCTCCCCCGGAGATATCCAGGGTGCAATCTATTTTGACAGATGCTGGGATACACTTTTGCCTTGTTAAAGAATAAGCGCTAATATATTACGGAACAGTATGCGTTTACTTTGCCGTGTGAGAGCTAAAGTAAAAGGGAAAGGGTGGATAGTATGATACATTGTATAGCTATAGAGCGCACCTTCATCTGGCCGGAGTCTAGAAAAGACCTAATGATCCTAATCGTTTAAGCCTGGTAAGATTGATAAGGCATAATGAGAATACATCTTGGATAACACTAGCTGAAAGGATGATGGATAATAGTGAAGGAGTGGTAAGAGTGCTTCATTAATTTAGTAAGCCATTTGTAATGATTTTGTGGCTCCCCAATTATGGGTCTTAAGGGTTCATGGGTTGTAAATGGGCTCCACCATCATAGTGCGTTACAGTCCAGGGTTAGCAGATAAGCCACATCCAAAATCAACTGCTGGGTTAAGACATGTAGAAGTAAGGTACGTAATATGCAAGGCTGTGAGGTTACTACGGAGTATGCCGATTCAATGTGGGTACCAAGCGACTGATTCTGGACCGCTGTTGGCTGCTCAAACCACGCTGTGTTTCCCCCAAATGGGCGCTCCGAAAAGAACGACAGCTCAGGTTCGGATATGCCGGCATAAGCTTCCGCATGGATCATGAGATACGAGAGAGCCAAGCAGGAGTCTACCAATCGGTGTAGGTGGTGTGCGAGAGCATGCATTACAGTCCGATTGCTGATACATCCTGCCACACCACCTGCCAAACACCAGTGGCCTGACCGTCAAGGATTCCAACGGTAATACGTTGAATTTCTGTCAACCGGATGTATCGGGTTGTCAAAAGCCACATAGCAGAGATTTCACGCACAAGCCCTGGATCGAAGGATCGACCAGGCTGCTTTTAGTATTAATCACGGGGAGGTGAAATTTTTCCTAGCGCGGAAAGCGATACTCAATACGTCCACCGACCAATGGAGCCGGGTAGCTAGGCCAATCTGGGGAATTGTCGTAAAAGAATGTGGCTCTTGGGCATAAATGGTCCGGGCTAGACAGCCGCAATTGGCCAAGAGGTTATCATCACACCCGGCATTGGCCGGCTAATAATCAATATCATTGGCTGTGAGCCCCACAACAGAGATTATCTGATGCATTGGCCTGATTATCTGATGGCGCTTATCGCTTGGCCCCCATTTATTTGTTCACCATCGATTCCTGACTCTCACTCTCCAGTCTGCAAGCGTGGCTCCTGCGTGACACCACGAGCCTAGTTGCCACGCCATGATGCTAGAGACTTTGGCCCCAGAGGGCAGTCTCCACATGAGCCATAGAAGCAGGAGAAAGAAAAAAAATTTGATGTTGGCGCTAATGCGGACCCAAAAGCCAAGTTGAATGGATGATTGACAGGGGAGATGTTGGGTGTGGGAGGAAATGCTACCCACTATATAACCATCCCGCGATCGGCCCTTTTCCTTCCCCTTTTTTCTCACTCCTATTCCCATTGACATTACTCATCTACTCACACTGCAGAGATAATATCTCATCCAGCTATCATGGGTGTCGTCGTTGACCGACTTAAGGGTCGCAAGACCAACCATGTCGTGGATGATCTTCAGCCAGTAGAGCAGCTTCCGAAGGATTCCCAGACGGATGGTCCATCTGCTAACCTGGGACTCTCCGAAAAAGATGCCCAGCCTGAAGGGGTTTCCCAGGAGGCCCCGATCGGAGTGCAGAAGGCAGAGGCTGCTGCGCTGGTCTGGAGCAAAAAAGCCATCTATGGCACTTACGCCTGGTATGGAAATTACAAGGAAGCATATAGAAGAGCTGTACTAATGATATCCTCAGGATCTGGGTCTGCTATTTCATGCTTGCGCTTCACGAATACATCAGTACCAACGTGCTCTACTATGCTTACTCGAATTTCTCCCACGCCTCGCAAGTCACGACGGCCTATATCTTAGCGACCATCATTGGTGGAGTGCTGAAACTACCCATTGGAAAGCTTCTTGGAATCTGGGGACGTGCTGAAGGCCTGATCGTCTTCGTCATCGTCTACGTTCTTGGGCTGATCATTCTCGCGGCATGCAATGGCCCCAATGCCTTCGCTGCTGGCTATGTCTTCTACTGGATCGGTTACGATGCTATATACCTCATTCTGGAGATTTTCATTGCTGATACGTCCGGTTTGCGCAACCGAGCCTTTGCTTTTGGCTTCTCCACAACGCCTTTCATCTGCTGTGCCTTTACCGGTTCTCTTGCCGCCAACTCCTTTATCAAGACTTCGGGCTGGCGCTGGGCCTATGGTGCCTTCGCCATAATACAGCCCTTCGTCTTCGCGCCCCTCATTTTCGTCTTCAAATATTATGAGCGGAAGGCCTACAAGACCGGTGTTCTGGTTCGCCAAGACAATGGCCGGACCTGGTTCCAGTCGCTGATCCACTACATTCACGAATTCGATGGTAATCTTTCCCCTCTTATTAGACAAGTTGCAAAACCTAAGAACAGACTCTAACATCATCTTGACAGTCATCGGTGCCTTCATCCTCATGGCCGCCTTCGTACTCTTCCTCCTCCCCTTCAGCCTAGCTAGTTATGGCCGAACAGAATACCATAACGCTGCCTTCATCGCCGAAGTAGTCATCGGTTTCGTTCTCTTCTTTGTCTTCGCAGCCTGGGAGAGATGGTGCGCCCGGGTCCACTTCATCCCCTACGACCTTCTCCGGGACCGCACCGTCCTCGGCGCCTGCCTCCTTGCCGCAGTCGTCTACTTCAGCTTTTACTGCTGGGACAGCTACTTCTACTACTTCGTAATGGTCGTCTACAATCTGGACGTAACCAAAACCGGCTACATGACCTCCATCTACACCGTCGGATCGTGCGTCTGGTCCCCCGTCTTCGGCTTCTGGATCCGCATGGTCAAGGAGTTCAAGTACTCGTGTCTGTGCTTCGCGGCGCCGCTGATGTTCTTGGGTGCCGGGTTGATGATCCATTTCCGCGGTCAAGACGCAGATATCGGGTACGTAATTATGTGCCAGATCTTTATTGCTTTCTCGGGTGGTATGTTGGTCATTGGTCAGCAGATGGCGGTGATGTGTGCGTCGAACAGGGATGGGATCCCGATTTTGTTGTCGATGTTGGGTCTGTTCAACAGTATTGGTGGCGCTATTGGGTATGCGGTTTCGGCGGCGATTTATACCAACACGTTCACGGATGGGTTGAGGAGGGCGCTGCCGGCGGAGGATCAGGACCTGTTCGAGACGTTGTACTCTGGGGGTTATTTGTCGCAGATGAAGTATGAGCCTGGGTCGGCGGTTAGGGATGCGGTCAATTATGCCTGGGGTTATATGGAGAAGTACGAGGCTATTGCAGCGACTTGTATTTTGGTGTTGATGTTTCCGGCGGTGGGTATGTGGAAGCATTATAATGTGGACAAGAAGCAGAATAAGGGGACGATGATCTAGGATGGGCTGTTAGACTGATATGTTCAAAATAATGTTTAATCGTTAGATAGATAGATAATTTAGTTACAGCTTCGACTGTGATGTGACTGATCATGAAACATGTAGATAATCTCGATCTGAAGAGGCAAACCTATGAACAAATTCCCTTGGTATACCGGAATTTTCCACAAGATATGCAGGGATGAGAAGGTAGCTCCACTGGCCATGGATGGACAGTTGGACAAATTGAAGAGCCGCAAGAAAAACTTGTGAATGTTACACCGCATTCAACGTGACAACTCAATGAAGATTCATTCATGATCGCAACACAAGCAGGAATTTTCTATCCTACTCATCCTTGAGGCTAAACTTCACTCCCTTGAGAAAATTTACCAACCTTACATCTCAATGCTATCGTCAATCTGAATTATACCTAACAGTGCCAAATACCGGAACTAATCCAGTTTAAAAATCTAACCAAATATGCGCCGCTTCGAGAGAATTACCCAGGTAGTTGAGCCTGTCGAAGAGTATCGCCGGGGAGGTTACCATCCTGTCCACCTCCATGACACCTTCGGCCAAAAATATGAAGTTGTCGGAAAGCTAGCGTATGGTCAATTCTCGACTGTCTGGCTTGCAAAGGATAAGACTAATACCCATCAACACGTCGCCCTAAAGATTCTGAAAGCAGATGCTTCTGCAGATTCAAAGGAGCTTCTAATACTGCGTCATCTGGCGGCGTCCGAATTCGATCACCCTGGAAAATCGCATGTCGTTGAACTACTTGATCACTTCTATCATACAGGTCCAAATGGTATTCACCTATGTCTGGTTTTTCCGGTGATGATCTCGGACCTGCAAGAAATGATAGTCACATGGACACCACGCCAGGCGGGATATGTAGAAATCATGTCACGTCAAATTCTCTTGGGGCTAGATTTCCTCCATAGATCTGATATTGTCCATTGCGGTAAGTTAATGCAGGCAAGAAATAACCTGATAATTACTAATGACCGCTTTCTGTCTGCCCAAGCAGACCTACAATCAGGAAACATGCTGGTCGCAGTTACTGACTCGATAAATGACACCGAGGATTTTCTGGAGCCACCACAATTTAGCCCAGTCAGATGGCTTGAAGGAGTGACGAAAGATGACAGTGCCCCACAATACTTGATGCCTTCACAGAGACGTTACAACCAACTAAAGAATGTCCAGCACTCCAACCTTGTTGTCAAAATCGGGGATTTGGGTGGCGGTAAGAGACAAATCCATTCCTACACAGAATCTTGTGTCTAGTCGCTGATCTTCCCCTTTATAGCTCAATTCCGTAGACAGTGCAACGAGAGGCCTGTAACACCACTGTCACTACGCGCCCCTGAGATTATACACGGGAGCCCTTGGGACTGGACCATCGATATCTGGGCATTGGGGTGCTTGGTAAGTGTCTTTTAATCATCTTTACTCCTTATGACAATAAAGTGCATCTGATAACACTGACCAGATATTTGAAATAGCAACCAACGAGCCACTCTTTCCACTTTGTACCTTCGGTATACCACGAGAGGAAGTCAATAAGGAACATCTGGAACTTATTCACGACAGAATGTGTGATCCTGCTGGTCAAGTTGGATTTGCTGCATATCTCGCTGAGCGGCTGCAGGATGATTTTGGGGCTGAGAATGTACAGCGCCTGGCCAAGTTCCTTTTATTGATGCTGCGGGTAAATCGTGAAGAACGATGTTGCACCAAAGAGTTGCTGCAAGATGCATTTACTGTGAACGAGCACTGAAAGCTGTTATTGAGGGCGGTAAATTTAGTTTAGTTTTGCTTCAAAGGGTCATTAATTTCTAGGAATAGACCCAGTGACACTGCCCCTGAAAGACTTATTAATGTCTCAAAGTTTGTTTTTCTTCTTTTCCTTTCTTTTTTTCTTTCTTTCTTTTTTTCTTCCGAGCCGTGAAGAGAGTATATTACACATGAACTACTCTGATTAGTAATAGAAACCTAGGAAGGCTTTCTAATACGAGAAGGAATGCGATCCTAGCGGAGCTGAAAGCTTATACCACATAGGACTGGTAATATGGCCATGGAAGCTTAGGCAAGTAATCACAAAATCTAGTAATCCCCGCACCATCGGTGGAAACCTAACAAGTAATAGAGTGGCTGCTGCAATAATGCGAATGCGTCGGTTCAATTAGTATATCAATGCCCAGATCTGCAGCGGTGCATGGGATACGTGTCGCGTTACTATCTCCTGGGTGCGCTCATATCGAACTAGCACGTACCGCCTCAGGCAATAACAAAGGAGCTCCCCTTGGCTGGCTCTGAGCCGCATTCCAAAATTTCCACTCCATCTCGCTCATAAGTCTGGCGATACCAAAGCCACTGGCGTCAATACACGGGTAGACCGCTTGGCACCACTCGAACTCAGCCTTATCCCCGCAGTCAATATAACATTTGGACGCCTGTGAAAGTCCCAGAAGTACGGATCGCACGGCCAACATCCGATTTTCTGGCTGCATGCAATATGCTACGGAGCGGCAAATTTCTCTGGCATAGAACACCATGCGGCTCGGGTCAGGGTCTCGCAACAGGTGAGTCTCGGTTTGATAGATTACGCGGCGGATGACCAGTGAAGCTACCCAGAACAGGAGGTAGATTTTGGCTGCTTCGAGGCTTTCGAAGTTGTATGGTGCGAGACCTGGATCCAGGGGGAGCATGCTGGGCTCCTGTCCCAGGCTTTGCCTGCTACAGGGGGTAGGTTTGCCGTCCAGCCTGTGAGCGGACATATGCAGCCAGTCTACCCGCAGACGCGCCTCAAGGTTGAAGCACCGCTGCAGTAGTGCGTGGCATGCGTGTTCGCGATCGTGAGGCGATTGTCCTATGAGTTTACACAGATCTCTGCGTAGAGCTATGCCTTCGGCAATCACTTCGAATAGCTCATCGACAGGGCTGTCTTTTCGGCCGAGATTAAGACATTCAACGTCCACATGCATACTGTATGGGGTGTTAAGGGTGAACATTGCCTATAAGAGTGTTAGTAAGTCCATCGCCAAGGGAGACTTAAACTGACCGCCGCCCACTTGTGTCTCCATAGGATCGCGTCGATGAGGGTTTGATCACACCGGGTAAAGTCGTGTTGCTTCAACATCGCTGTAGCTCCCTGTATGTGGGCAAGACAGTTACGCAATACCGTCTCACTATTCTCCATAGTCTGTGGCTTGTCAGAACAACTGGACCTCTTGGCCCGGATTGAACCTACCTCGTAAGCTTGGAAGACAATGGCAGAGTAGAGAGTAGTAGCTGTTGGCGGACGATTCACCTGCAAGATCTGTAGCATCGCATGAAGAGCACTATTGTAGATTTCCAGGCCATAATGTGCCAACTGACCATCTCTGGTCTTCTTACCCAAAAACACGGAGGCCAAGCCAATGACCGAGCGATCCAGCAGGTCTGATTTGCCGGCCAAGGTTGGGAAGCGCGCCATCAACGAGTACCAGCTATCGACCCTGCCAGTGGGGGACGGGATGGAGGCGAAGAACGTGTGCATGTAGGTCGCAAACAACTGGGTGCGAGCCTCGGGATTCATATTGAAGCAAGCAGGCAATGCCAGGAGCCGGAGCTCTCCAACCCGCCGGGCTTCGGGTAGCTTGATTTCCGCATCGCGCGCACCCCGGGACACAAAGCTGTGGTGGATGAAGTCCCGATCCTGGTAACCGGGGCAAGGCGTTCCTCCTCTTTTAACACAATTGGAGCATTCAGGCTTCTCCAGATCACACTGCCAGGTTTAGCCATCGATTAACAGTTCGATTGAAGGACTGACCTTGATCTTGCGCTTCTTACAGGCTGCACAGGCGCGTGATGTGAAGGGTATGCCACCCATCTCTAGGGTACAATGTCTGATGTACCTATGGCTGGGGAGGACGAACAGTTGGATCGATGCAAGGAGAAGATGAACGATTGGAACCTCCGATGTTCAGGTTGTTCATTGGTTGGTCACGTTTCACGTGCTACCCTCAGCCTCAATTCATGCGATATGTCACATGCGGTGATTATAGGTGAAGACCGACTGGTTTAGTCCTGTGCAAGTGAATGGATCGCTGCATTACCAATTGGTTAATGGAATATATTTGACGGCGTGACTTGATTGCCGTGCTACCATTCAATTCAGCCTTGCGGACCCTTTTAGTACTTAGAGTGGTCGCGGACGGGCCCCGCGGGGAGCTCCGGGTAAGTGTCTCATAGGCAAGGGGGGTCCCTGTAAATATCCGCTTGCTGAGGAGTGGAGTAGAGAAGCAGCTTGTCATGATATCGATCGTGCACTGCAGATCGGCCAACTGCACCTCCCGCACCAACAATCAATGCCCATAGGGCTTTGGAATCATGATTGTCAACATTAGTTTCTATCTATATCAATTACGTCGGAAAAGAAGAAAGTACATACGACCACAGGGTGTGGAAAACAGGGCTTCCCGTCCGCTCAGCCGTACTTAAGCCACACGCCGGGAGGTTAGTAGTTGGGTGGGTGA